TTTTAAATTATTTTTTTAATTCAGTTTAGATTTTCCTTAATTTAATATTGAAGGTATTAGGAAGTTTGTGCACCCTGATCGAATTGATTATCAGAATTTCGATTTTTGGATCATAAAGGAAATAGAAATTTTTTCCTCAGCGTAGAACACATATAGTATCTATTTTTCTTTTACCCATCCTTTCTATTGATCTTTCATATGCATGATTTAAATGTATGGTTTTAAAGCAAGAAATATTCCCTAACGAAGAAGAATTTTTAAGGTACACAGTTTTAGTTAAATGCACTAAAAATAAACCATTTTTTTTCCCGTATCACAGCATTTTTGACGACATACGATTAAACACAAAAACATGATTCTCCCAGAAACGAAATGCATTTGAAACATAAGCAGAGTTTTAACGGATAATGAAAAGGACGTTGTATGGAAATAACATACGTAAGAATGATTACATTCAGTTCACTTAAATTTCTTTTCGAGAATATTGATTTTAAATCCATCATTTTTAGCAGCTTCACAATATATTATCTGTAATGAAACTGCTGTTTGATGACAGACATGAATAATTTATATGAATTTTGCTTTGACATTTTTCGTTCATTTTCTAATTTCAGCTTATTTCATAGAGAATAGAGGAATATAGTGATTACAATTTTTTTAATTTGGCGTTATTTTACTGTAATTGTTATTAAATTTTATTAATTGAATGAAAAATATATCTCTAATGAAACTGGAGGAAATAAGTTTAAATGAAATGCAGCAAAAAATGCGTATAATTTAATATTCCGTACAAGGAAGTCATGTGGTGGACACATCAGATTTTTTTTATTCTTATATGTTGGTAAATTGTGCATTTTTTTGCTTTAAAAATGATTGAATTATGTTGTTCTTATGATCCGGTTAATGTTTTCATGCCTTTAGTTAATCTGTATACAACATCTGTAGAATTATCAACAATTTAAACGTTGTTTAATGTTAATAAACGTTGTTAATAATAAACGTTGAATAAATAATAAACGTTAATAAACGTTGTTTAATAATTAGCCTAATTATTTTACCATGGTAGCCATATTTGTTTACATTTGAAACTTAGCAAAATAGTGAATTCTTTCTGCACCTCCAGTGTCTTTTTGCCGAGTGGGACCAAAAGGAAACTTTTAGTTTTATGCACCGTAAAAGAAATATATCTCTAATGAAATTCTAGGCGATAAGTTTAAATGAAATGCAGGAAAAAATGCGCATAATTCAATATTCCGTACAAAAAAGTCACGTGGTGTACACATCAGATTTTTTTATTAATAGAAAAAAAAAACGCAAAAACGAAACGCAGCCTGTCTTAAAAATTAAATCAAACGATATTTCTAGATGGATTTTAGCTGTGAATAAAATTTACTGAATTTTGTTCTTTGAGGCTCAGTTTGAACTAAAAATATAAAGGCTGAGTTGGAAGCATGCTGAATCGGGACTAAGCCTTCACCTCGTTCTCTGACCGTAAGTTAAAATTCGCAAAGTAAGGTCTGGATTATAGTTGCTGCGTCTCACATGCAGCAGCATTTAAATCCTTCTGTCGTAAGTAAGGTAGCTACAATATAGTTTAGAAAACATTTTACTGAAACATTTTGCTTCTCTTGCATTCCTCAGTCGGAAGACTAATAACATAAGAAGCTTTCAACTTAATACTTTGAAAAAGAGAGAAAACTTGCAATCTGAAAATTAAAAAGGATTCAGTACTTCGCTTTTATTTTTAAACAGAAGTAATGCACTCAACTCTTTCTTTCATGGTGACCATCTCGGAAAAGGAACTAAAATTTCTGGAAATCCAAATAAATATTGGCATTGAACAGCACCAGTTTAAGTAAACATCTTAAATTGAAGACCAATCTCACCTGGAACTGTAGATGCATATATGTAGAGAGGTTCCACTTTCATTTTGTCTTTGAATCTAAATAAAATTTATGAAAATGATTATTATGCAGTAGCAGTTCATGTGCATATCTGACCAGCTTCTATATTCTTGATAGGGCATGATTTTACACCAAAAACAAAAATATTGTAGCTCCTTCTAATAGTAAAAATAATAATAAAATTTAAATAGATAAATAATCTAGAGAGCTTCATATTAAAATTTCACTTTTAAAAACTCCTTCTGTCTCTGCTTTTAGCTTTGGAATGTAAATTGGTTTAAGTGGAAATCTGATAAAACTGCATACCCCCACTTTAACATAATTAAAAATAATAGAGATATATAAGAGGCTGGTATCCTGCATAATGCTACAATATTTCATCTCCGCCAATAGATTTTATTTCGAATGTAGACGATAGTATACGCAAGGCGTAACGTTAAAAATTTTGCAATCAATTTATTACAAGCAGCTTTATGTTACGCTAGGCTACCTTATGCATACTTAGATACTCTGCTGGCCGTTAGAATTGCAATACCATGAACGATAGCAAATACAAAAAAAGATATTTATTGTACGTAAACAGTATGGCTTGAAAACAAAATGAATAAATTTCTAAGCAGGTTCGGGGTTTACAGGGGTGCGAAATTATTAGAAACAGCTGCCACCCCTGGAAGCTAAAACGACTCTTATCCGGTTGGGCATGGAGTCGAAATGGGCTTGGATGACCCAAACGGGCAACTCATTCCATGCTGCTTCAAGTCTATGCCACACTTCATCAACCGTATTAGCTGGAGAGGGGTGAGCCAGTCTCTCAGCAACCCATGACGATATGTTTTCTCAGTGGGTGACAGATCTGGAGACCGTGCAGGCCAGGGCAGCAATTGAATACCCTGTGCATCGAGGAAGGTCAGAACACAACTTGCAACACGTGGTCTTGCATTATCTTGTTGGAAGACGACGTTTGACAGGCCTCGAAGATAGGGCACAAACACTGGACATAAGATGTTAAAAATGTACCGTCAACCCGATCTAGAGATGTGCGTGTTGTGTACCCAATGGCTGCTAAACCATCACACAAGGTGAAGTTCCCCTAAGCTGACATCGAACGCAAGCAGGCGACGTACGGTCTCCTCAGAGCTTCCAGACAAGTGTACGGCCATCAGAATACTTCACGTAGAACCAGGATTCGTCTGAAAAGACGACATTGTGCCATTCCTGTATCCAGTTTTGTCGTTTGACACATCAGAGTCGTCGTTTTTCTCTATGCTGCATTATCAAGGAAGTCGATGTAATGGTCGCTGTGCTGATAGTTCACGCTGCTGCAAGTGTCGACACTCTGTACGAGCTGATACTGGGCGTTCTGCAAACATGTCATTTTCTGACTATAATGGTCCGTGATATGGTTATTCGGTTTTTCAGGGCTGACATCATAATGTGTCTGTAATCTCTGGCGTTAGTCATGGGAGGGCATTGATGGCAACCCATGGGCAACCCATTGATTCCATATTCGCATGACTATTTTTTGGATGTCGACCTGTACGAGGGGCGATATCACGGAATCATAATCCACACTCTCGATAGGCGGCGACAGGTGACGGAGGACGGGGACACCTGGTGTTTAACGGAGGTAAACAGGCATATGTCCCACGCCCTCCCCTATATAGATACAAGAACTCCCTGGGGTCCCACAAAGCCGCACCGGGAGTTACTGAGCCTTCATGAAAAAGTTTACATGGCCTTACAGGGGCTATTCCAGTTTGACATTGGTTCTGTACAGATTCTTATGTTAATGGTTGACCTGGGTGTTCATAGGCCATAATGCATACATGAAACATAACATTACATACATGATATATGACATGACATTAAACTTATACATAATACTTGCATGAATTAGTACATACATACTTGACATTAGACTACACATACATAATGCATGACATTAATCTACACTTATTAGAGTTATAACCTGACTGTATACTACGTTAAGCTAATTGTATTGCGAACTTGCTAAGTTACTTTATAACTGGATTACTTATAGTTTACATTATTGCTATTACTTCTTAAATGACATTATGCTATATAACAAGATAGGCACATATACTTTGCCTTATAATCATATATGTGTTACTTAAAATAATACACATGGGGCACGCGTTACACGCGCTAATGACTACATTACCGATTACGTTATGTTAAAAGTACACATAGTACGACGTATTACACTCATTGATTAAATTACTTACATTACACTATTACTTACATTACTTACATTACACAGTTACTTATACACTTTCATATTTACAATTTTAGACATAACACCTGCTAAGTTACAATAGAGACATAAAATTATTGCACTGTGTATGCTATTATTCCTATGTTGGTTGGCAGACATCCTGCCCTAGGGCGCTCAGCTGCTGTATAATTTTACATATATTTCTTATCGCAGGTGCGTGTTTGATGATGAACCTCTTGTAAGGTACTATATCCGTAGTGGGATATGGTAGGTGATGGCTCGTCGTGAGGCTACAGTTGAACACGTAGTGGTCGGGAGAGCCAATTTCCCCACACACACACGCTTCTGTCATGGAGATAGCACGCTTATAAAAGAAGGTGGGAAAAGGGCCATGCCCCGTGATATAGTTTACTAAAGGGGGTATGGCCTGTAAGCGTTCTTTATCTACTACAGGGTAGAATTCGAAAGTCCTTCTGCCGGTATCTCCATTCTCCCATTCGTGTTGCCATTGTTTATTCCCTATGTCTCTTAGTTGTCTTTTTAAAAATGACGGCGGGATTAGTGCTGAGACAGCCTGTGCATTATTGTTGATCTGCCATCTCATTGCCTGCGATCCCAGAGTGGCCTCTTACCCATTTTAGCTTGATGTTAGATTGCTGGTTGCTATGCAATGTCTGTTGGATTTGCAGGATTATGGGAGATGTGTGATGATGATTCTTTAATGCCTGCAGCACTGACATGCTGTCTGTGCAGATTTCTGTTCGTGCAAGTTGTATGTCATGTGCGTACTGTATTGCCGTTTCAATTGCTATGGCCTCCGCCTGGAAGATGCTATTGTGAGCTGCAAGATGACCTTTCCATTAACTGTGAAGTGTACCATGCTCATAATAAGCATAAGCACAACCCACTCCGTTATCATGTTTGGAGCCATCTGTGTAGAATTGCGAGGCGACTGGTACATCCTCTATTCGCGGCCTAGATCTCTTTGCTATTTTGACGTGTATGCCCGAGTTTTTATGTGCTGGGTGCACGTGCTGTGTGCTGCCTGGTGTTTCGTATTGCAGCGTGCTGAAGATTGTGGTGCCGAGTGCAGCATTCTCCTTTAATCTTATTACTCGCTCATATATTGCTTCTAACTTGGCCCTGATGTGAACGGGTGTGAGCCCGGTAAGCACAAGTGCTGCATTTGTCGCGGTTGTTCTATATGCCTTGCTAATGTTGAGAGCAAAAGGTCTTTGTATTGTTGACTGGGCTTTTATTTTACGGCTGCCCATTGGTAGTGCCCAAATAACTGAGGCATAGAGTACAATCCTTTCTGCAACCGTCAAGTAGAGCAGTTTTTGAATGTAAGGGTTCTGCCCCCAGTTTTGTCCCCGAAACTGCCTGGCTTTCTTTGCAATGTTGGCTGTTCTGACTTTGACTTCTTGTAGATGTGGTAGCCAGGTCAAGCCTTGGTCCCACATGACTCCAAGGTATTTCAACGTTTTGGTGATTTTCAAGTTTCTGCCCATTAGCTTAATACAAGGTCGTCTCGTGGGGTTTGTACCTTGTTTCAAAATATTCTAAGATCTATAAATCGACATCAATCACTTTTTAAATGTAACTTTTAATATGTAGAATATTTACAGATTATAGATCAAAACATGGTGGTTCAGTTGACAAATAAATCTATATGCTTTCATAATCGAAATCAAAATAGGAACCCAAGTGTTCCTAATCAAATAGTGTGCGAAGTATCAACATCCATCTATCGAGCTGCCGGTGGAGAGTCTCTGGAAATTCAGAAGGCACGTCGCGTCTCGTTAACAGGCAACGCTAGCGCCATCTATCAATTAATCAAAATAATTTCCACACACTCCCCACCTGAACTCTGTCAAGAGTTCACATCAATCTAACAACAATCAAATTTATACCAATAAGTATTTTAACATATAATTATAAAACAATTGATAAGTATATTAAATGAATAGAAAATATATTCAAATTATAATCACTATACTAAATTCTAAAAAAAGGTATGTTATCATCAAATACAATTTGACACTACTTTAGTAAATCTAAACTATTCTTAATCTAAGCATATGAAATTAAACTAGTAAAATAAACAATTGCATAAAAAACATATTCAATCTTATTCATATTATTAAACAATAAAAAATGTTTTTAAAGTTCCAAAGGATATAATAATTGAACTGGTCGTTTTATTATTGTTCCATCAGCAGTTTTTAGTTCACAAGAACGAACTTTGTTGTCACGACCACGAAAAAACGTTTATCACTCTACCACAATTCCACAAAAGTTTGCACTTATTGTTGCCTTCAATTAATACAAGATCATCAACTTTTAGATCATCATAAACGTTAGGATTTTTTAATTGATGAGCTGTCCGAAGATCCATCAAATATTGTTTTTTCCATTTAGTCCACAATTGCCTAACCAATAAATCTTGATAAATCTTTCTTTTGGTCAGAGAGGACTTGGTAGAGCCATCTTTAACAATGGAATTAAAGTTGATAGGTAATGTAGAATCTTTGTTTCCAAAAATCAAAAAATTGACTGGCTTCAGTGGCAACGGTTCCTTGTGGTCATTGTACACATATGTCAAAGGACGAGAATTCAAAACAGCTTCCACTTGTGCTAAAACTGTTGACAATTCTTCAAACGTTAGTAAAGCTTTACCGAGAATTTTTCGTAAGCACTCTTTCACTGATTTTACTAATCTCTCGTAGAAGCCTCCCCACCAAGCCCCTCGTTCTATTATAAACTTCCAACTGATTCTTTCATTCGACAGAAAATCTTGGAATTTCTCATTCGACAATAGTTTAGAGAAATGTTCGAGTTTTTTTTTTCCCTTTTTAAAAGTTTTCGCGTTGTCCGAATAAATTACTCGACAATTGCCTCTCCTAGATGTGAATCTTTTGAATGCCATCAAGAAAGAATCTGTAGAGAGATTCGGTACAAGTTCCAGATGTATGGCTCTAGTGATAGCGCATGTAAATAATGTTACATAGGCTTTTTGACTTCCTTCGATGTTTTTTACGTAAATCGGTCCAGCAAAATCGATGCCAGATACGTAGAATGGTGGTGGTGTCTCATTGATTCTGTCTTCTGGAAGTTGAGAAGTGGTCTGGTCAGCAGACTTCAATGAATATCTTTTACAAATAAGACACTTGTTTATTATTTTCTTGATAAATTGACGTCCTTTTGGGATCCAAAAGCGACTTCGAATTTCAGCTAAGGTCGTTGCTACTCCTCCATGCATCATTTTAACATGTGCACTTTCTACTATCAAATTTGTTAGCCAGGAGTCTCTTGAAAGAATTGCCGGATGTTTTTCATCATGTGACAAACTAGAATGTTCTAATCTTCCACCTGCTCTCAGTATCCCGTTCTGGTCTAAAAATGGGTTAAAAAGATATAAGGATGATTTCTTTTCGACTTTATTCGCTCTCTTCAGAGACTCAATTTCTTCGGGATAAAAACGTTCTTGTTCAGATCGAATCCAATAATTTTCGGCATCTACTATTTCTTCAGTCGTTAATGGACCTGTCAAATGGTTTGTTTTCCTAATTTTACCAATGAATCGTTTCATCCAACCAGTTATTCTCAACAATTTTCTTAAATTACTATATTTTGAGATGTCTATTACCCTTTCTTCAACTGCCGTGCACACAAATTCATAAATATCATTAATATTTTTGCGGTATTCTAATTCTTCTTCAGTGACAGGTTTCTCTTCATTCTGTCGAGGCCACAACTCAGACGACATTCTAAGCCATTCTGGTCCTTGAAACCAGATAGGATTGTTTTTCAAATCTGGAAGTTTAGCTCCTCTCGAAGCCAAATCAGCGGGATTACATTTACCGGGGCAATAATGCCAATTTTCTGGGGATGTCAAATTTTGTATTTCCTGAATACGATTTTTAACGAAAAGCTTAAATTTCTTTGCACAGTCTTTTATCCAGAAAAGTGTGATTTTCGAATCAGTCCAGAAAAAAAACAAGAAAGTTGTAACTTCAAAACTTTAGTGATGCTAGTGCCTAATTTGGCTGACAAAAGAGCTCCCATTAGTTCCAACCTAGGTAAGGTGAGCGGTTTTAAAGGCGCTACTCTAGTCTTTGAAGCAACAAAAACCGTAAATATTTGTTCATTGCTAGAAATTATACGCAGATACGCTACTGTACCATATGCCCTTTTTGCTAGCGTCAGAAAAACAGTGCAGTTCAATCCTTTCCACATCACTATTACCGATTGCAGAAAAAAATATATCGTGGAATACCGATTTCGTCTAAATTGGAAACTTCTTTGCACCATGTTTTCCATACAGAACATAAATTTTCTGGTAGTTCATCATCCCAATCTAAAGCAAGTGTCCAAATTTGCTGCAATAATGATTTTGACTCTAAGTACAAACGGTGATAATAGACCTATAGGATCAAAAATTCGTCCTATTGCTTGTAGGACGAAACGTTTAGTATTAACTTGTTTTGAGATAAATGTTATCAAATTTTTTACATCAAAGTAAATTATGTCACTTTGGTTGTCCCAAGCGACTCCTAACACTTTCAATGGAGGATTTCTAGCTTCCGAAACATGACTAGATTCCTCGGATTCAATACCTTCTTTAATCCATAATTCGCGCAGTTCTTGAGAATTGGTGTGCCATTTATGTAGAATCATACTAGCATCTCTAAAAATGCTGACGCATTCTAAACTGGTATTGAAAGCAAGTTCAACGTTTTGGTGTCCTCCAATGATGTCATCTACATAAATGTGATCATTTAGAAATTCGCAAGTGGCACGGTAGGTTTTTCTCATATTGTTTCAAATGGTGTTTAATGGTTGCAGCCAGTAAAGTAAAAATGGACTGCTATTTACGCCAAATAACACACGTGTGAACCGATAAGTTATAAAATTTTGTGGATCATCGAATGGGTTTTTAGTAAACAGAAAACGCGTTACATCTCTGTCCTTCTCATCTACTTCTATCTGAAGAAAAGCCTGCTTTATGTCACTTGTAAATGCTACAGGATGAAGCCTGAAGGCCAACAGAAGTTCAAGAATGTCAGGATACAAATTTGGACCAATATGCAAGCAGTCATTTAACGAGATTTCACCAGGTCCATGTGAAGACGCGTCGAATACGATACGTAGTTTACTAGTAGTTCGATCACTACGAACGATTTCTCTGTGAGGCAAATAAAATGTGATTTGAGATTCACTATCAACAGTGTCTGGAACTGGTTCAATGATGTTTTTTGTTGTAAATAATCTTGTAGAACTGTTTGGTACGAATAAAAGAGTTCAGGGTTATTCTGAAATCGCTTTACAAGTTTCTCAAATCGTTTCAGCGCAATCGCTTTATTGTCATGTAACTCATATTTTCTATCAGACTTCCATGGCAGCCTAACCTTGTAACGAGAATTTTTGTATAAAATTTCCGATTCGAATTTTTCCATTATGGTATTGTCTAATGGGTCGGATGATTCATTTTCAGGTTTTATACCTAAACTTTCAAGCTCCCAAAATTTCTTTATCTGATCAGATATTATATCTTCCTCAACTATGATATTAAAGGCTGTGGACGTGTGTGTTGTACCTTTAGTGTAACCTAGCAGAGACCAACCGAATAACGTTTCAGCAGCTACTAAATGTTTGTTCTAAACGCTTAAGTTTCCCAGTTACTACATCATAATAATGATCAGCTCCTATCAAAAGAGTAATTTTTTCTTTGCAATCCCAAGAATCTGCGAGTTGTAAACCTTCTAACTGTTTGCCTAAAATGTGTCTATCCAAGATTAGGAGGTGGTAAATCAGAACTTGAAATTTGTTCAGTCACGAGAGCTTCAATTTCGATTTTCAAATTCGGTGTTTCCTTGTTCTGTAATTTTATCTTAACAACGTCAAATGTTTTTCTAATGGGTTGTTTATTTCCAAACGTAAATACCGAAAGAGTCTCTGTTCGAATAACAGGAAGCTTCAATTTATCCGCGATTTCTTTTCTTAGGAAGGAACGCATACTACCTGAATCCAGTAGAGCTCTAATTAAAACCGACTGCGTAGTTGTTCGAAGTGTTACGCAACACGTTTGAAGCGAAATAGTTTTAATTTTGCTGCGTGAGAATGCTGAAAGAACATGCGAATCTTCTATACTTTTATTTTTTTCATTTCGTTCTTTCTCAGCGCGAAAGCATATTGAACGGTTATGTCGACCTTTGCACTTGGAGCAGACGAGATCGCTTCGACACTGCTTTATGCGGTGGTTTGATTTCAGGCAAAGGTAACATTCGGGCATGTTTACGTAATAAATTTCTCTTCTCATCAACTGTCAGTGATTCACAGTCTTCAGTAACATGTTTGGATGTATTACAAAACAGACAGCAATTAGTAGTTTTGTTTTCTTTAACCGGCGCCAGCAGCTGCTGAGTGGAATGGACGATACTCCCCTTCCCACCCTTCTCTT